TTTTTTTTGTGATGGATATCAAAGTATTATGTAGATTTATATTGTGTAATATTTCGACGGTATCTGTTGACATTAATTGTAGAGTGTGTTGATAAAATGCAATATGTTGTTTGATGAAGTGCAACGAGTGTTGATAAAGTGCAACATTTTGTTTTATGAAGTTTAGCGTGTTGATATATAAAGTGCATTATTTTATATGACCTTCATATAAATTATGTGTTTCGGTAAACTAGTTCTAATGGTATAATTGTACATCGAATTAACCTTAATAGTTTAAAAAAAAATATTATTTATTATTATAAAAGTATATTTACTATTTTAATATTTTTTATATATTAAATTTTGAGATGTTAAAAATTTTAAACATTGTACACTTTATTTGTCATTAATATGCATTTATGATAAAATTGTTATAAACTAAATATTTGGTCATGAACTAATATTCAAAATTAATAAAATTACAAGAGTGTCCCCCAACACTATCTAATTTTTTTTTTTTAAAAAAAATAAAGACAATGAAACTCTTAAAAATACATTTTAGATTTTAATTATTTTGTATAATGATTTATATTATTTTTTGTTTATAATACATTATATATATATATATATATATGTTTAGAAAAAAAATTATACAAAATAATATGTTTTTATATATCTTTTATAAATTATAAATTTGGCCCATGGGCTAAATTGGAATATAGTTAAATCTTTGTGAATTTAAACATTGACCCCAAGGGTTTAATAGCAAATAAGTAAAACTCTTAAAATTGCAAATTGGTCATTGTAGCTTATTAAATTTTCAATCAACAGTCCTCAGCCCACAAATCGTCCCTCAGTCGTTCTGTCACCGGCAGCGGACCTCCGCCCTGCCGCGCCGCCCCAGGGGCTTATCTTGTCGCCGGCGAGGAGACCTACGAGCCAACCCCAAGCCGCCTGACTCATGGTGAATTCACAGTGGCGACTTCGACGGGCTCCGGCGGCGGCGTTTCAGCAAGCTTCGACGGCGGTGGAGAGCTCGTCGCCGACGGATATGGTCGCGGGTTGTGTGGTGGCGGTCCAAGCTCCATGACGGGTGACGCAGAGATCCCGACGGCAACCGGTAGCCGGAAGTTAGAGATTCGTGGTGGAGGTTGACAACAGAAACGGATCAGACCTCCATCGCATACGGCGGCGCGGCGGCCTGGCGGAGGTGCGACGACAATTATGCTGTCGGTCAGGAATGACGTCGCCAGAAAATCGAGTTGTCATTGGTTGCTCCATCTGCTATGTGTGTGTGCAGTGCGATGGGTGTAGTGTGTGTGCGTGTTGACTGTTTGGTGTGTGTGTGTGTTAGTGTGTGAGAGAGAGAGAGGGATATGATGTGTGAGGTGTTTCGCCACGTGGCGCGAAATTATTGGAT